ATTCTTGAATGTTGCAGAAAGAACACTGCGTTGTAGAATTCCCTCCGAGAAGATGGATGACGATTCTGTTTATATGGGTGGTGGCGGAGATATAAATAGCAGAGCAGTTAAAAGGGACCCCACAACTATAAAAATGGAAGAAGGCGAGGAGCTTAGTCAGGATTCCAGTGTGGTTAGTATCTGCTGTAAAAAATAAATTGCATAGGCTTGTGTACCATATTTTTCTCTAATCTTTGTATCTCATAGATGAACAACTCGCAAAGCGTCCTGGAAAAGATTGCTAATTTGTACGCAGAGCAGCTAATGTCTGATATAATATTGGTGGTAGGTAATGAACAATATCCAGCGCATCGTGTTATACTCTGCGCCAGCAGTGAGGTGTTCCAAGTGATGCTTATGAACCCCGAGTGGAATGAGTGCCGCAAGCATGTTATCGAATTGGTTGAAGAACCATGTTGCACAGCGGTATTTCCACAATTTCTGAAATATTTGTATGTGGGTCAAATAAAAATCTCACTACAAACGGTAATGCCAATGTTGGCCCTGGCAGACAAATACAATGTGAAGGCAAGCACTAAACATGGAAATAATTGTGCAATTTCTTTAAATTTAAAATATCTATTCACATTCATAGGATCTAGTAGAGCTTTGCGTTGACTACATGATGAAACACATTGCCAAGGCGGCCACTCAAGGCTATCTAGTATCTTGGTTGCAATATACAATTGCTTTTAGCCCTTATCACAAAGAGCTCACCGAGACATTAAAACGGTTTTTGAAATGGAATTTAGAAATGGTGAGCGAATCAAAAGATTTTGTCGAATTGGATACCGCAATCATGGTGTTGCTGCTGCAACAAAATGACATTGTGGTGACTAGTGAATATCAGCTATTTGGCATATTGCAACGATGGCTCTTACATCGCAAAGAGGTGTTTGACAACGATGAGACGCTTACCGTGGAAGAAAAAAATACTGCTTTCTTGCAATTAGTCGAGCAGACAGTTGTGCACATACGATTTGCAATGATGACGCCGCGAGAACTGGCGCACTTGCTGCTCTTTCCACTATTGGAATACCACAAGGAGTACATTGTACAGCGCATGGCAATAGGCGAGTCAAATTATAAAACCTTATAGACATATCACAAAAGCAGTAGTTCAATTTCTTTATTTCAACAGGTATGAGCTATCAGTCAGGTCAGGAAGAGCGAGTAAGTGAAGTGCGTTACTCCCCAGAAGGCATGCTGCAATTTACACCGCGACTTTACTCCAATGATACATGGAGTGTCAGCATTCATGTGAAGGAGTTCGATCAAATCGAAAAATACTCGAACTATGTTACGTGCTTTTTCTCGCAGCGCAATATTGCTGAAACTGAAGATGGTAAGAATTTTCTACATATTATATAAATAAAGCCTACCATCTACCGGGAATCAAGTATCGAAATTGTTTGGTCTTAATCCCATGATTAAATCTTATCCATATTTGCTTTTTCTTTCATTTCTTCCAGATCACACTATAACTTGGGAGATTGAATTCTTTCCGCGCGGCGTCAAATACAACAAAGCGAAGATCATTTGGGGGGAAGATGTGCCGGAGTTCTCATTGAAAACTGTGCGCCTACGGGCCACTTGCAAGTATCCCCAATTGGACGAGGAACGTTTTAAGGTAGCTAATATGCAAATTGTGATCAATAGTGTTTTTTTTTTGCAACTTCACATGATTCTAGGTGGCTGTGCTGATCACGGGTGTGCAGAATAAAATCGATCATATACTTACCGTGCATGAACGTACCGAGTATTTCTCGAATAAAGTGCGAGTATTAAATGTGGACAACCTTATACCCTACGATGAGCTGGCGTTGTCTTCCATTAAATTAAGTCCGCATTTAATAGGGGCTGAGCGTAACAATTTGTCAATACAAGTGATAATAGCGCCAATGGGGCCGTATACGTGCCGTGATGCGCCACCATTTGATTTTAAGTAAACAAAACACAAAGCAGTTTAGATACGCTATATCAGGCATGCTTTAATAGATGATAGTGGTGGTTAGACTTGAGTTAGTTCATCATAATTATAAAAAAAAAAATGTATTTATGTATGTATATGTAATTAAAAATCAATTGTATTTTGTGAGATGTAACTGGTGCAGGAGTTTTTTTTTTGACATTCTTTATTACCTACTGCTCGAACATTTATGTTTACTCACAAAAAATTTGCATCCTCTGAATTAAGCTGCAATAAAAGTTAAACACTGTGTAAACTATTAAAAGCTGTTCTAATAAGTTGAAACATTTTAACAAAGCGTGCGCTCAATGTTGAATACGGAATTGCACTTGTGTGTTGAGATATTTTTTTCTTTTAATAAGACTATAGGGAATACGAAAGAAGATAACGTTCTATGCACACAAAAGAGCTTAATTGGGCGTTGAGTCCGTGTTCCATAAATTATATTGACATTAAAATGTTTACATAATGCTACCCTGCCCACCTGTAGTTCATACACCCTGAAATTTTTCTGCTTCAAAAGTGTATGAAGCTATACTAGTATTTATGTGCCCCTTGTATTAAGATGTACTTTACATACATAGAAGTGTAAATATTGCTTATCGTGGAAATGAAAAGGTTTTTTACACCATGTTATTATGTCATTAACAGGGCTAGGATTTTGATGACCTAGCAAAAATTCACACTGAAAAAATCAAAAAACCTCAAAAAAAAAATACTGGACAAAATGCTCGATATAGTTCAGGTTTTATGAAATATTAGAAAAATGCGTATGGCGTTTCCTTTCGTACTGAAAAATGTTGCCTTCTCTGTGCCCTCTAAGCAAAAATGCTAGGAATAGGGCAATGGACAACCTGATAACAGGTGTGAATACACCAATTGTTTTCCATTAAAATCATTTACAATATACTTTTCAGATCAGTTATAGTCAGATATAGGCTATATCTGCAAGAGAAACTTCTTTTAAAAGGGTTTAGTTAATGATTTAACCATTCAAAATACACTCTGCATTATAGACGCTCATCCTTCTACAAATAAACAGTTGAAAAAGGATGAGCGACTAAAAACTATACTCAGTCGCTTATTGAACGAGAAATAGACATTTACAATACCATGGAAAAGCGATAATCGAATAATAGTCGTTTATCTACTAGTAGTCGACACTCACAATAGGGGTGAAAGAGTCAAAGCTAAAGGTAAAATTGAAAATTAACATCCCTTTATCTCCCCTCAAATCACCTTATCTCAACTCACCTCATTTGTCTTCAGCTCACCTCAATCATTAGCAATAAGCGTTTTCGTGAAGCTCTAAAAATTACAACTACAACATTTCAGCATAGCCTCCATATCGTAAGGTATGACGTATTCTACGTAAAAACTTAAAAAAGGCCGGGATACCGGGATTAACATCCCTAGTAGAGACAGAAAAATGCCTATTCTGCGTTCGAAATAAGAAAAAAAAGAGCTGGAGGGGGGTCTATTTAGCGCTACAGCCACCGAGAAGAAGGAACGTCTGCCATGTTACATATGTTCGGCCAAAATCGCTAAATTGGCGCTAGCGTCAATGACGAAGAGTCCAAATACGTAAAGTGTCTGTGTGTTAGCGACAGTAGTTTCTGCGTTGATTATCTAAGTTAATTCGCCTGAAAAGCCTACTTAGATATTATATCTCACTGTTGCGCGTTAGTCTTTTCTCCGTGCATTGAGAAAAGGTGTATTGTAAGTTTACTCGACTTGTGTGAGACCCTGTCAGATAGTGCTTTAGTGTGGATTAAAATTTACACTAAAGAGATACTATTTCGTGCTGGTGAACTGATAAGTGAAGTTCAAGGACAGGTAAATACGATTGCACAAAAAACATGTGCGGTGGCGTATGAGCAACCTCCTAAATGGCGAATTGCAACAAAGGAACATAAATTCATTCATGTATGTATAAATTATTAAATTTTTTTAGAAGACGCACATTTAGGTACGCGCACACCTGTAAGCATAATTTTTGACAACTCACTTAATCTATTTTAACATTTAAAAAAATAATATGAAAAAATGAATCCTCACGCTCTTATCAGGCGAGAAAATAAAAACAGACATATGAGCCGTTCAGTGCCCAACTTGATTAACGCCATCAACAAAAAGTTTTTTTAAATTCCATTTATATTATGAAATCAAATAAATAATGTTGTTATAAATATGTTACATATATAAAGTTATTATAAAAGTAATAAGTTATGAATATATACATATATATATTTGTATGTATACATACATATGTATGTACCAACAGAACTACTTGTGTTATGATTAGGGCAACCCAAAATATGTTCGGTCATGTTCTTTGTCAGGCATGTTAGCAACACGCTAATGAAATTTCTAAAAAATATAAAGTTTGAATTATATTCCTTAGAGCATATTTTATCATATTTTCCAGTAAATGTTCGGATACTTTGCGTTGCGTTTTTACGTTTAGGACTAACAATAAAAACACTGGACCACAAATTTCAACTTTTTCTCTTTACCAGAAACGCCGTTATGAAATTCTTATGTAAAATCACCCCCTGATTCCGAAAATCAAGGTTATTTTTAATTCCATGGTACCGTTTTTGAGATATTTGCAATTTACCGTTTTTGTAAAAAAAAAAAATTGGGTCCACTTTATCATATATATCTGAAGAACGAATTAAGCAATTCCAAAGCGGTTTGAAGCTTTTAAAAGGTAATAAAATTTTCTATAAACTGTGCATACAACACTTTTTGCTAGGCCCTGTAGATTCGAAGATAACGAACAATCATTACCGATTTTTTCAATTTTTTTTGTAAAAATATAAGGGGAAGGATCTCGAAAACCTTTTATTTTTTTGCATATTTTTTTTTTCTCCCTAAGCTCTGTTGTATTACAAAAGAAGAAAATCGATGCAAAACTACGTAAGTTATAAGCGATCAAATAAAAATACCCAGGTTGCGCAACTTCAATGTAAGTACCTATACATACATACATATATTAAAGGTATAAAGTGCAAGTGAGATATTATCCGGATAAACGAATAACACCATAACAATGATAACACTTTTTCTTTAAATAAATCAAATAGTACTTTTAATACTCGAATTGTAT